CAGCCGGCGAGGTGCGTGCGGTCCGGGGCGCTGTGGGTGCCATGCGCAGTAGTGCTGCCTGCGCTCGCTGCCTGCGCTCGCTGCCTGCGCTCGCTGCCTGCGCTTGCTGCCTGCATGCATGGTGTGGCTGTGGGGACCGGTGGCCGGAGGGGAAACTCTCACTCCAGGGTGAGAAGTGCGCTTTACCGGGGAAAAAAGCCTGGGCTGTGTGGCAGCATCCATGCCGTGAGACGGAGGGCTTGAGGCTGGGGTGCAGGGGCTGGACACTCTGTCCTCGGTAGCACCCCATGTCCCAGGAGATGTCACCTTGCCACCGACCCTGCAAACCCGTGCTGAGGTGCCCAGGGCACACGGGCATCTCTGCATCCCCCTTCTGCCTCCAGCAAAATCTCAGCGCTTGCAAAATGTGGCAGAGACGCTGGTTGAGTCCATACGGCCTCTCCAGCTGGTGGGTCCCGTGAGTCCGGTCCTCTCCCCTGCAGATCCTTCGGGTCAGTGTCCTCCTCTGCCTCTCGCAGGGGTTGGAGAAGGGTTGGTGCCCGGTTTATTCCAGGCTGGAGGCTGCCTGCCCGCACCGTGTTTATTCAGCCTTGGTGAGCTCATCCTCACCCGTGCCCCCGCACTGCCGTGTGCTGCGCGAGTGGTGGGGAAACGGCGTTTATAATTAAAACTCTGCTATAAGCTGCCTTTCATTAAAACGGCAATAACAAGAAGAAAGGTTAAGTTTGGGGGAGAAAGCCACATGTATGTTGTGGTTTAAAGAAAATAAAAGTGCTTTTCTTAGAATTTGTAAGGCAGACTTGGCTCCTCCCTGCCCTATTCTAACCAGATAGGAGCCTGGCAGATCCCAGATATATTCCAGTAAATGTTCAGGATATGGTGTACCCAGCGGTTTCTGCCGAGAGCTCCGGGAGCTGTGCTGTGCTGCCAGAACAGATCTCCTCAGGCATTGGTTTGAAAAATCCTCTGAAGCGTTTTGCAAATGCAAGAGCTCTAAAAGCGTACAAATTACCAACCGGTTCCTTGGATTTTGTGCCTTTGTCCTTACACAGCCATTTTCTCCTTAGTCTGAGCGGCTGCCGGGGGTTTGCTCCGCGTGGCCCCGTGGGTCCCTCCTGACGGCCCGGCTTGTGAGCTGCTGCCAGGGAAACAGCTCTCGATGCCTTTGGTGACATGGACAACTACTGAATAGGACAAACATCCACCTTTCCTTGCCATACAGGATAATATTATTAATTTTGGATATTGAGGTTTGCCTTACGTCAGATAGTCTGCAGCACTTCATAGTAGTGTGTACAAAACTGTCACATTTTGGCAAGCGAGTCCTGCCAGCTTCCTAGGGTAAACTTGGATGCCAGTGATGGAGAATGAATGTGCTCCTACAAAGGCAGTGGGGGGTGAAAATGGTAGGACCAGCGTTGGCATCAGTGCAGCCAGTTCATCCCAGCAATGGGTCCCCAATATCCCATGGGCTGGAGCCGCCGGCATCACCGACAGCAGGGAACAGGGACGGGCAAGAGGAGACTCTGGCCGCGGATGGCCCGTTAACGCACACAGATGCATGTAAAATGTATTGTAACTGTTTCAGTATACAATAAGCCATACTTCTTTTCAGTAAAAAAAGTGAATGGTAACCCAAGCGCATTTCTAAAGCCGTAACTCACAAAATAACTCTCTTTCACCCGATTCTTGCCTCTGTTGGGCTTTTGCATCCTGCAGGTATTTAATTTGCTGCAAAGGGGAGAGGGACGTTGCCCAAAGGCGAGGGGACACGGTGTGCAGAACGTACAGGTAAAATCCGTTCTGTGGGCAGGGGAATCTGGGCCCAACCTCTGCTCTGGCCATTTCGTGCGTGAAGATGCTGCACGTGCACAGGCCCACCGTTGCGCCGCGTCTCCCAACCCACAGCAAATGCGAAGATACCGTAGGATTGCGTGTTGGCTGTGCGTGTGGAGGACGCGAGGCTGCTCCTCAGCCTTTTTTCCCAGCCACCAGCTCGCTGCATACGCCAGCCGTGCTGCAATTAGCACCTTGGTCCTGTGTAGTCTGCCTGCCTGCGGTTATGCTGATGACCAGTTTCAGGTTTAATACTCCTGCGGATGTGAAATAGCATACATACCGCGCCTCCCCGGGCCCTGCCTGCGGGCTACAGCGTGTTTGGTGTGTGCGCTGACTCCTGGGAGGTGTGTTGTCACCAGGAGGTAGAGCTCCTGGTACAGAGCCCGTCTTCCCCAGCTCCCCCCTTCCTGGCTGATAAAATCATGGGGGTGAGGAGAAGCGCTAAGAAGCCCGGCCGGGTTTGCTTACTGTGCTGGTCGCTGCGGTCCCTGGTCCCGTCCACTTTGCCATCTGGGAGGATCCGTAGGAAGTGGCCCCCGTTGCTGCAGTACAGGAGTTTGGGTTTCTTGTAGTTCCCTGGGGGAAGGTTGAACTTTTCGGTCAGGGCGGTGAAGGTGGTGATTTCCCCTTCAGCCATCGCTCAGTCTCTCCCGGCCGCCGGGCTGCAAGAGATGCGGCGGCGTATGGCAGGGGCTGCGGCACCGAGTGCTTGGCACACGCTGCTGCTGCCAGGCTTTTAAAGGGAGGGGAGGGAGCCCGGTGGTCCCCGGGCTGGCTGCGGGGCAGGTGATTCACACGGCGGCTGATGGCTCCGGCAGTGACACAGCCCCAAAGGTGATGCTCCTCCAGCGTGGGAGGTGTGTGGGGGGTCGTCTCCTCACTGGGTGTAGCTGGGCGGGAGGGACACTGTCCTTTTAATTTTATCATAGTAAATTCTGTTTTCTTTCTGCTTTCTATTGACGTGCGTACTAAAATTATACGCTCGAAAAAAAAGTTTGAAAACCACCCAGTGTCTGATCGAAACCCACAAGAGGCAGGAAGGGAGCCCAGGTTAATAACTCTCTCCACTATTATAATGTTCAAACACAATTATGAGTAGGTATTGCAACACGTACCGCATGCCAGATAGCAAACATTGCTTCATATCTTGGCACGCTGCATCTCACCTGGCCAAGGCGCACGCACGCTAAAGATCAGAACAAACGTTAGGCACCGTGGGAGGTGAGCAGAGGGACAGGAGGCTGTCACCGCCGGGGCGGCAAGCAGGAGATTTACCCATACACTGATCAATAGAATATAGAAAAGGGAATTTTAAGTCTAGATTATACCATGTTTGTGCACATTTGCATCTCAGTTGAAGTGGTTAAAAGGGAAAGGCAAAGCTCTGGCTGATGCAGAAGGGGGTAATGGGGCACGGGGCACTACCAGCTGCTCAGGAGCTACGAGCACCGTCTGGGGAGAGCGCTCCTTCCCACGGGCTCCTCTGTCCTGGGGACTGAGGAAATGCACGGGCATCCCATTGAAACCTCATTTTGTACAACACTGTGTGGTCACGATCCATGTTTAAGCAGATGCCGCGCCAAAACCCAAAGGCATCATCAGACTGGTAAGAGAAAGATGCTGTGGATGTCAGAGGGTGAGAACTGCCACTGCAGCCGTGGCCGTGGGATCAGGAGGGGCCGTGGCCGGGTGTGGGTGGGGACCAGAGTCCCACGGCGATTCCAGGTATGTTCAAATTTATCTGAATGTTTCTAGCCTGGAAACTACATTTTAGATCTCCCATGAATATGCCGTCTTTCATATACAAAGTTCCGTAGTGCTTATAGAGTAGTGGATTTATGAACACAAACAGGGCACAGTATAAACCTAGATACGGGAAATGACTTTCAATGTCATGTATTCCCATAGCTATCTTATGGAAAATATTATATAGTCACTGTTTATATATATTTATATATTTATAGATTGTAAAAGTGTCTCTTTAGCACTGAATTGTGCTACCGGTACATTAGGCTGGAGCCAGTATCATACTGTGTGGGTTTGTCGTCGTACTTAAAGAGCGACCTGGCAGATATTAGGGACCGCAACTCTTTGCAATACACACATACACACGTATATGCATATCATCTCCAGACGTTTGGCTGTAAACTCTTAAGTATTTAAATTTGCAAATGCAGCTGCAAGGAAGGGAAACTACTCCTTCATGTGGATCCCAAAAGCCTGCAGAAGATAAAACTGTCTGCAAGTTGGATTGCTAAAAGCTGAATCCTTGGAAATAAAGACTTCATCGCTATTGCGGAAAACATAGCCAGCCACTGCAACCAGCGTTGGGTAGTACAGAGACTTCATCCCTCACTCTCAGATGTGTCCCCTTGGGGTCTCTATCAGAACAGAGACATTTCCTAGGAGAGGAAAACACAACCGTAAAGAAAAAAAATATTCCCTGCCACGCCAGGCCTCAGTTCCCTCTGGTAGCTCTTGGTTCACAACAGCTTCTCTTTCCTCCTGACTCTCAGCCCGTGTTTTCCTGCAGAGGGAGGTGTTAAATCACTAATACAGCAGCTGATCGCCGAGTCAAAATGCAGGGCCAAATTATTTTAAACTTTTCCCCACTGCCCTTTCTCCAGAACCATTTTGATCTTGTTTGGTAAGTCACGTTTGCTGGACCAACGCCTCCCAAGTGTTACTTTATCAGCCCAGCGCTTCCTCAGCTATATGCTGGTTTGCACTGGAAGCCGTTTTGGTTCTTATTTAGGTTTAAAAACCATCCCTAGGCCAGTTCCTCCCTGTATCACACATCTCCCCAAAGCTTGCTCTTGCTCTGGAGCTATTTGCAAAGCCCACAGTATCAACTTCTTCCCAGGGGGTCCGACCAAGTTTCACAGCCGCCTCTGCTGATGGCCATGCTCCTGAACCGCACGAAAGCCGTGGCCGGCTCAGCCCCGGTGCGTCCAGGCTTTGTGTGTTTGGAAGTTGTGTAGATTTGCATATCCTCTATTCGAGACAGACCGGGTTTTGGGGAAATGCTTTCTGCAGGTGCTAACACAGGCTGGCCCCGCTGTCCTGCGATGAGGTTGGTGAAGCAACCCGAGAGAGCTCACAGGCTTTATGGTTCCTATGGTGGCTTTCCAAAGCCATGATGGACGAGCTAAGTATGGGTTCAAAATCCTTTTTATAATACAGTTGTCAGGCAGGCGGAATTAGGTATTTCTTAGTGTCTGGTCCCCAAATTTATTTTTCTGTCAAAAGATCATACTTTTCTTGTAGCAGTTCAGTTTTTAATGCCAACTGTCTGCCAAGCTTTCTCTGAACAGAAGCCTTCAAGTCATTCAACGTGGTCTACAAGGCTTTAGTGCTTTACTGAGCATTAATCAAGATCAGTGGCATTGTGTACTTTCCTGGAACTAAAGCTTTTCTCGAACCTTTATCTGAGAGTAAAAGGCACTCAGAAGTCTCCCGGGTTGACGATGGAAGGAAGAGAGAAACAAATATCCCAAAGCCAAGAGCTCAGATCAGGATCTCAGCAAACTCCCGCTGTAGCCAGCACGAGGGAGGAGCGGGCCAGGATGCTGCCTTTGGCCACCTGAAGGCCTGCGCGTTGGAGAACATCTACGGACAGCTTTAACAGAGCAACTTGACCGGCAATGGCTTCTTCCTTTTCACGTATTTCCTTTAAGGTTTTTTTTCTATTTTTAGAAGGAATTCAGTGCTCGCCAGATGCCTTTGACTCTGCAACAGAAGCTGAATGAACGCTATTTTCCACTCCCATTGTCTCTCCTTGCTAAATACTATTGCTGTTCTCATACTTTTATGACCGTGGAGTCGGTCCTCTACACACACCACCACTCACGGCCCTACTATTATACTTTTGGCAGGAACATGTTAGGTTTTTATAGGAATTAAAAAGCATGAGTGAGAGAGAGAACCTGAACCAAAGACAACATAAAGGGCCTTATTTCTTTGGGTAGAAGCCCCACAAAATTATTAAATAGCTCAAAGCAGAACAGAAAGCAGCTCTCTTCAAGATGCTAAGCTGAGAGACACCACACTCCAGCAGTTATTTGGTGCCCCGTGGAGAAAGGAAAATACTCCAAGAGGAGATTGCTGTAAGAGTGGGATGGCTGCTGCCGAGCAGTTGACACTGCCGGTCGCACTAGGACAGTAAGTTGGAGACCGAGTTGGAGAGTGTTTGTCCAAGACCAGCTGTGTTCATGGCTCTCCTCTTCCCTCCCACCCCTGCGTAACAAGCTCGTCCACTTCTCTCCCGTAGCTTTCCCATGCTGTGTTGCCTAAGAGAAAACCACCACTGAGAATGACCGGCATCGTCACTGGGAGCTGGACCCAGGGCATCTTGCTTGGGGGTGGCCCTAGCGCCGTCCGCAGGCACAGGGCACAGAGGGTCCCGCCAGCATCCCGGGAACACTCAGCTCTTCCTCCTGGGTTGTGGAAGGAGATGTCAGAACCCCAAAAGATCAGAAATAGCTTTCTGAAGAAAAAAAAGGACTTAAAAAGAGTTAAACCTGAATGTTAACATTAACAAGGTCCTGCTGAGTTTGGTGGCTGGAGCAGTGCAGCGTGTGTGCTCCTCGCAGCAGTGAGATGAGCCCGGCGCGGGACCGGAATAGCTGCGAAATTCTGAGAAGTTTGGGTTTGGTTCTAAACTTTATCACCGACCGCTGCCGCTGCAGTGGCCAAACCAGTGCCTTTGATGTGAAATCCCAAACTCTACAAGCATCTGAGCCTGAACATCGAGGGCCGGTTACGTTGCCAATAACAGGCGAATTCTGTGTGAGCTCTGAAATAACAGCGCACACTGGGGGCCATGGAAAAGGAGTGAGGTCCTTTTCTCTTCCTGTTCTAAAATCAGTGCAGACTTCACTAGATAGTTCTGTTCCCCCCAGTGCTTGCATTACAAAGGTGGTGTTGATGAGAGTTTGGCAAATCACAGAATGGTTTGGGTTGGAAGGGACCTTGAAGACCATCCAGTCCCACCCCCTGCCCTGGGCAGGGACACCTCCCCCCAGCCCAGGTTGCTCCAAGCCCCGTCCAACCTGGCCTTGAACACCTTCAGGGATGGGGCAGCCACAGCTTCTCGGGGCAACCTGCCCCAGGGGCTCACCACCCGCACAGCAAAGAATTGCTTCTTTCTAAATCTCCCCCCTTCCAGTTTGAAGCCATTCCCCCTCGTCCTATCACTCCATGCCCTTGTCAAAAGTCCCTCCCCAGCTCTCCTGTAGGCCCCTTTCAGATACCGTGCCCCCTTCAGATACTGGGGATTGCTAATGGCCCAAAAGTTTTTTGCGTGTCTGGATTGGCAGGTCACACTCGGACCGGGCTGTTTGGGACTTCAAGGGTATTTTCGTGGCTCTTTTGTGACTCCTGCGACACAAATTTAGTGGCCGGCTAAGACTAACCTCCCATCAGTACTGTGAGCGCCCCGGGTTTTCCGTAGCAGTCTCAGCAGAGAAGCCAAGCGGAGAAGAGATGTGGTGGGTCCTGTGGGGCTCCCGGCAGAGCTGGGCCCACTCTGGGCATGTCCCTCTGCCCAGGGGACCGACCCTGCGGTGGTCCCTGCTCCCCAGGGCAACTAACCCCATACCTTCTCTGGCCACCCCTCTGTACACACGCAGTAGCTGC